CATTGCCTCTCCTGTTCATGCTGTGAGTATCCCATGCTTCACTGTGTGGATGTGATTTTTAAAAAGCAAGCCTATGAACACATTTTTGTTAACTAAAATAAATCATTATGTTGTTCATGTTCATACATCACCAGCAATACAGTGCGGTGCACTTAAAACACCGCTGCAGCACGCACATGGATAGAGTCTGTTTGCTGCTTTTCGTGTGGCTTATTTAGTGAGTCACCAATCCACAACAGTGATAATACAGTGTGCAGGGTTTTCAGTTTTACTACTGTTTATGTTTATTGGATTGTGAAGTCAGGGTTGGTGGGGCTTTTCTGACTTTCTGAGGAGGAGATTTCGATTCTGAATTTCCAGCTTCCTGCTTCAGATGGCGTGCAGCGTGTTTTTTGCTTCAGGTTCAAGTTGGAAATTGTAGTGCATCACTGAAGTTGTTCAGAGTACTGGCTTTAATCACACTTACAAATTTGTGCCAAGTCCTTTTTTTTTTCTTTTTTTTTTGTCTTTTAATTACATTTTTATTGAAGAAAGGAAAAAAAAAAAGGGACTTGTTACAATAAAGTGCATTGACATTATGTAGTCAAAAAAAGAGAAAAGGAAAAGAAAAAACAAAACCCTTTTTCTTAGTCCTTTTGTTTTACATTCTGATAGCAAAAAAAATAAAATTAACTCATTGGTGTTACATAATGCAGCATGTTTAACTTATTTACAAAAAACTACATTAGGTACATATTATGAAGTTGAGGGTCAACCTGACATTGTTCGATACATGGGAGATACACCAAGATACACCAATTCAGGGCTGGTCTTACCTAAATTCAGGGCAGATGGGGGACACAAAGCTAATCCATTTATTCCATATTTTGTAGAATTTGTCTTTCCGAATTTTTAAAAAGAATGTCAATTTTTCCATTTTAAATATTTCGAAAACCACATTAAACCACCTCAAGTGTTGGCGGAGTTGGATTTAACCACTTTCTGGTAATTGATTTTTTTTTTTGCTGGCCGCTAATAGCGCTTGTAAGAGTTTTGTGTCCCCTCCCCGGACCGAGCCAGCAACCAAGCCAAAGTACAAATTTACAAAATTGATGTCAAATTTTATCTTAAAAACCTCGCACAAAGTTTTATGGATTCCCAGCCAGTAATTTTTTAATTAATTTTAATTTTTAGTAATTTTTCCCAGCCAAGTCAAGTAAATATTGAGTGAAGACTCTTAAGAAGTAAAGGGCTTTGCTGAATGTTTGAGGAAGTTGGCACCAAACACCACTGTAAAGCCTCACCTCTGAGCTAAACATTAAGGAAACCTTTGACTGAGCTTATAAACCACAATCTGCAAAGACTGTGTGAGTAAAGCTGAAAGGAGAATTAGCACTGATTTAAAATGAGACTTTACCGTTATTTGACCAAACTGTCCAGCTGTGTCAATCCAGTGGTGTTTAGGTTTAGAGCGTATTCGGAAGTGCATAAAAACGAACGTGTAGAACAGGAATAAAGTGGTTGCCAGTAAATGCCGTGACGTTCTTTCTATCAGGGATGTGCATACACTTGTCTGATTTCCTTGCTACACAGAGACTAGAGGAGCTGCTTTCTGGCGTATGCTTCCTCAATCACTGCGAATCTTCCCATTGTGTTTGAACAAAACAAGATCAGCTGACCTTACTGCCTGTGACTGGTCGACCTTTAAAATAAACTGGTTTTATAACTTTCCTGCAGGTGGTTTCCTGATGCTCTGTCATGGTCTTGTGATTCAGTTCATAAACAACAGTCCTTACGCAGGCTTTCTCTCTAATAAATCTCCATATTTGTGGTTGTCTTGTGTTAGAAATTGGTTTAAACAGCTTTGTTGTGGCAACTTTTATGATGAATCAGGTTTCCAACAAGAGATTATGGCAGCAATAACTGAATGGAAAGTGGAGGATAAGGTTATTGGTTTTTAAGAGCTTTTCTTCTCTCTTGCAGGGAGAGCGTGCCACAGGTTTTGGTGTTGCTCTGCTCATGGCCCTGTTTGGTCAGGCATCCGATGACTCCATGCTGAACCAAGTTTCTCCTCTGGGTGCAACCACCAACGCGTCCGAAGACCACATGGAGCGCGACTGCAAACGGCGAAGATTGGTCTAATGAGGGAAAGGGGGGGGAAGAAAAAAAAAAAAACGCCACGGTTCACTCCCCCGACTGCTCCTGTGCCACCACACACTCAAACTGTTTAAGCAAGTGCTTGTCCAATTTAGAGATAAAATGTTTTAGAGTCTGTGTTCTGTGTTTGACTTGACCGAATAAACCAGATAAAAATGAGTCAATCAGATGTGGTATAAATGATTGTGATCAAGCACAGGCCCTCATTTGTGCTCGTTACGTGGCACTTGCCGCACTGATTGCCTCAATAGCTTCTTCATTATTCAGTTCTCATTGGTTATATTAAAATGTAAGCAAACTTCGAGTTAAATTAATTATTGATTCATTCTTCCTTTTTTTTTTTGTGTGTGTGTGTGTTTTTACCAGATTCTACAATTAATGCAGTTGATTTTTTTTTTTTTTTTTTTTTTTAACCCCATACCTCAAATGTTGCTTTCCAGTGTCCATTTCATCAGCAGAAATTTTTGTAATTTCATGCTTTATGCAAACAGAGAATAACGCCATACATGTTGTACTTAGACGTTCTGAAAATCACTGGCTCAAGATCAGTGAAGATAGACGTGTTATCTTTTGTAACAACTGCACTTTGTTAACGCTTTGTATCTTTGGACTGCCTAATCTCTGGACCAAAATGAGTGCTCACTGCACTTTTTAACAGTTTCACTCTGTCACATGACTCCTGACATGCTTTGTCAGCATAAAACACACAGGCCAGACGTTAACTGTAAGTTGAAGTGTTCGTTTCCAGCACAAACAAGTTTGTTTTTTCTTCTTCTATTCGTATGACAATCGTGTTGTCCTTCAATAAAGGTGGTGCCATCTGTCATCTGTGTATGTAGATTCAGTCACTACAGAATTAATAAGCTGAAGGCTTGTTTGTTTAAACAAAACAAACAAAATGATCTTATCCCCTCACATGACTTCAATGTCTATCCAACTTGGCATGCCAAGTGCTTTTATTTGTTGTGTGGTTTGCTGTGCTGGTGTCTTGTAGCAGATCCCCAGTTATCATCTTTCCCTGTGATTAAAATTTCAAAATAGCCAAACACCTAAAAAAAAAGTATTCAGTGCAACTCTATTTTATTTATGTGTATATATATATGTGTGTGTGTGTGTGTGTGTATGTTACTCACAGCAATAGTCATCACAAGGCTTCATAAGAACACTTCTGAGGCAAATCTACTCTCTGCTGTTACCAATTTCTCATCAGATTACAGCTTTTTAATTAACCACGCTGATTTCATTGTAGTTTGATTAAGTAGGAGATGATTAAGCATTGTCCTAATCATCTCCAGGTTAAAACATCCCTCTGTGTCTAAAGATTTGTGGTGTGTGTGTGAGTAATAACCTCTTGTATTGGATAATGTCACAAAAAATAGGGTGTTTTTAGACTTAAACCTTGGTATGACTAAAGCTCAATAGATCAATCAATCAATCAATCAAGGCTTTATTCGCCACGTGCAGGTTGCCCTGCAGTGAAATAGGACACCCCCACCCCACCCCCCCGACCTTACACACACAACACAGACATCACATGGGGATACAGGTCGGAGATCGGTAGTGTTACAGAAAAAAACCACTGAAATATACACTACAATGGGAAAGTACAAGAGGAAAAAAAGAGACCTCTACTCATGCTGGACAGCATGAGAACAGAAAACAAAAAAACTCCTCTGCACAAAAAAGCACATAAATGTCCGCAGCACAACATTATGGAACACGTGACAAGCCACAGGGTCGGGTGGATGTTGAGGAGTAATCAAACACAGCAGCCATCCTGCCCAGCGCTACCATTCCAGCGCGGGCTCAGACCCACCGTGTTCCCAGGAGGGAACAAGCATCGAAGGCGTTCGGAAAGGGAGGTTGGATGAGTGTGTGCATATCAGTGTATATGTATGTGTGTGCGTGTCCAGAGTTCAGCTGAGACAGTGTCCTTCACCCTGCCAGGCTAAGTAAACAGTCTTCCAGCCAACCCAGGTGGCCTTGCATGGAATCGGAAGGAACAGACTAAACACAGTCGTTATCAGGGTGTTTTTGTTCGGCTCCAGCCTTGCGACCGCAGCTGGCACCGAAGGGTATCCGCATGAAGTGATGGTGCTTTTTACTTTAGTGCGAACAGCTCATATGAGCTGACAAACAGACAAACTGAGCATCAGAAAGAGGAAGGAAAGTTATTTAAGTGAGATTGAATGTGGCATGGTTGATGTTGCTGGGTGGCCTATTCCAGAAGCTGCTGAACTACTAGGATTTTCCTGCACAAGAAGAATAAACAAAGAATAAAAGATCCAGGGGGTGGCTGTTCTCTGAGCAAAAATGTCTCGTTGGTGTCAGAGATCAGAGGAGGATCCCTAGACGGCTTCAAACAGATAGGAAGGTAACAGTAACTCATTATAATATAATCAAGATAAGCAGAAGAGCATCTCTGAATACACAACACATGGAACATTGAAGCAGAAGAAGACCACACCAGATGTGATTCCTGTCAGCTAAGAACAGGAAACGGTGCAAATCACATGGGCTCACCAAAATTGGATCATAAAAGATGTGAAAGATGTACTTTTGAATGATGAGCCTTGATTTCTCTTGCGACATTCAGATCCATCCTGCCAAAACAGTTCAGGGCGGTGGTGGTGTAATGGTGCGGGGATTACATTTTGGCACACACTTTGGGCTCCTTAATACCAACTCAGCTTTGTTTCAACACCACAGCCTATTGCTGACCTTGTCAGATATGTAATGACCAAAGTGTACCTATCTTATAATAAACCATGTTATAACACTGTGATCATCTCTGGTTTCTTGAACATGACAGCGAGGTCACTGTACTCAAATGACAACTAAGGTTCCAACCAACCAGGAACCAAGTTGTACCTAATAAAGTATTCACTGACAGTAATACACTAGAAATGTGCATACAAAACAGCAGCACATAACGGATCTTTTATGTTTAATTTCATCTTATCTTGTGACATTGCTTAATAATTACTCTCTTGCAGTTTAGGATACATACTCTAGAAGTGAGTATCTCCTGGTCCCGTAACTAAAGCACTGCTCGGTGTCAGAGATGGCTCTCAAAGCCGCGGTTCTTGTGCTGTTTTCGGCCATGCTGTCTGAGGTGTCGGCCGGAGTATTTTTTAAGCAGAAGGAGCCGTGCTATGTCCCCTCACCGAAGAGAGGCGGCTTTGGACTGCGGTAAGTTCAACAAAGGCTTATGTCGCTTGAAACCAGTGCAAAAATAGATATTCAGTATGTTAAAGAAGGATTTGCAGTGCTTTGCAAACTCTCAAACTTCCCCTCGTGTCTTTATATTTTGCTTCCAAGGAGCCAGACTTGCCTTGTAATTTTTTTAATGTGATCTTTAAAGTAGTTCTTCAGGCTCTCTGAAGGTCTTTCACGGTTTTTCTTTGGACATTGTCTGTTTTTTCTCTCCTTTTTAGTCTAGTCATTGTATCTGACCTGACCAAGGGATTAACCAGTGTTGTGTCTACAAAAAAAGAACCATTTTTCCTAGCATAAGTACAATTATTTGTTCCAATTTCTTCAGTTAAATCTATGAAACACAGAGTGAGAGATATGAAATAGGAGTTTTTTTCTTCAACAAGCTGTGCTATTGGCAGGAAATTTGGCATATGACAGCATGTAGTGTAGTGTGTCCTTAAAAATTAAGGAAACTGGAAAAATAGAGGAACAATGAAAATGTTGCAGGGCTTAAAAAACTCTCTGCAGCAGATAAACAATGTCCTTAAAATAGTGAAAAAAAGACCTGAGACACAAGACCCGAAAGATAAGTTAGAACTGTGCAAACCCTGTTTTTGCTTAATATACTGTATTTCAATAAAGTACTGCACCAATTTCCCATTTTCTGAGCAAAATCTAAAGAAATGAGGGGTGGCTCAAGACTCATTTTGTATGTTACTGGTATTACATTTGTGTAATACCAGTAATATGTGTAATCTATATGGTATGGACTGACAGAGCACACGATATCTGTGTATTCTTCTCGATACTGCAGCTGTAATGTGAGGTTTTGCACATCAGACTAGTGAGAAGGACAATTCTTTTGCATCTTGTATCAAGACTTTAAAAGTTATTTTTTTAAAGAGAGGAACTGAAACAGAAGAGCAAGAAGATTTTCAAACAGACTTTATATGTTGTAGCGGGGACATCAAACTTAAACATCAGACTGATCCAGTAACTGTGTGCAATGACACGTATGTTCACAGGACCGCACCTCGTCCTCACGAGTATTTGAACATTTCTGATCTGCCGAAGTCGTGGGACTGGAGGAACATCAATGGCACCAACTACGTCAGCACTACTCGCAACCAGCACATTCCCCAGTACTGTGGGTCCTGCTGGGCACATGGCAGCACCAGTGCGATGGCAGGTATGACTCAGCAAAGCTTAACTATGTCACATTGTACATGACTATGACACAGGTGTGCTTTCACTTCTTCTTTCCATAGAAGGGACACTGATGAACAGAAAGTAATGGCTGCTACTTATTTCTTATTTGCATTAAATCAGATCGAATCAACATTAAGCGGAAAGGAGCGTGGCCATCTGCCTACCTGTCTGTCCAGAATGTGATCGACTGCGGTAATGCCGGCTCGTGCCACGGAGGAGACCACACTGGGGTTTGGGAATATGCTAACAATCACGGGATCCCAGATGAGACCTGTAATAACTACCAGGCTAAAGACCAGGGTAAGACTTTCACAGTGTACACAGTGACCAGAGTGATGATCATATGCTTCAACATCATATGTTTACTCAGTGCTAATCTAAGAGGCCCTGTTTTGGCTCAGGACACTCCTGCAAGACAGATGAATGCTGTTCTGATAACCTAGGGGAATATGATTATTGACGTTAAAAGGTTTTTACACAGTGTAGGCTAAAATGCACAGGACTGTATTTCACCACATGTGCAAGAGTAGACAGACTCTTTCAAATATGCAACAACTAAGATTAGTAAATATATTTAAAGGAGTTCATCAGAATTTGTTAGAAGACAATACATTTGTGTTTTTATGGTCAAAATGTTCCCCTGGCTGGCTGCTGCATGTCCCTGTGAGGCTGAGCCATGTATGTTCTGTTTCTCTCTCTCTAAAGATTGCAATAAATTCAACCAATGTGGCACCTGCACCACTTTTGGAGTGTGCAATATTGTGAGTAACTACACTCTGTGGAAGGTGGGAGATTACGGATCCGTCAGTGGGAGAGAGAAGATGATGGCAGAGATTTACGCGCATGGGCCAATCAGGTTTGCAGCTTTTTCATACGTTTATAAAATAGTCCATTCTGGTTGCTTTGTTTTACTTGATAATTCAATCTTAATAATAAAGCAGATATCCCAAACCAACATAGCACACTAGTTAGAATCCTGATTTCCACCCTAAACCTTTTCCTGTCATTCCATACTTATGTAGGGGAGAGCAGTGTGTCATGATTTATGAGAAAAATTGTCATCGATATACAAATTCTGTAAACATGAAATCGCTGATTTAATAATTAATTAGTTCTCTGGGCCAACTTTCATTTGTTTAAATGTGGTACAGGCTATAAATAAATAGACGTGACAGTCAACACAAAAAGTACATGTTTGAGGTATAATTTTTTCAATTTCCCAAAATATATATATTTAAAACAATGAAGCGGGCTACATACTGAATGGATCATAACACACAAGTATTGATCTGATAGCAACACTAGCACCGGTATCTATAAAAATTAATATTTGGATCGATCCACCCGCAGATTTTTAAAAGAATCAAAAGTATGACCCATTTTGACTCTGTTTAGAAGGTGGTGGGTTGAGTAGCTTTTGTAGTTTCTTTGAATCATGTTTCTGTCTTGGAAATAAATGTTTATTAAATTCTATCTGCAGTCAAGAAGATCTGTGGTTTAAAGTAGCTTCTCTAGGCTTCATCATTTCAGCATCCGATCATCTGCTGCTGAAATGTTGTCAGTGCAGCAGAGCATTAAACTCATCAGTGACTGCTGCAACTTTTAAGCAGAAAGAGGAAGTAACCTGTGGT